ATTATTATTATTATTATTATTTTGTACCAAATGTAACCCTGTCCCAAAAGGGGTCTTTGGTTATAATTTCAAATTTCATTTTTTTATGACTGTGTTTTCCTTTGCATACTTAAATTGTTCTTTCCTGAGATTTTGACTTTCTACTGCATTGAGAAATACACTGTATGTGCAGATTTTGTACATATGTGTAAGTCAGGACTTATCACCCACCATATCATGGCATGGTGTAAGTGATAGACTGATTAGTCCTACAGTTTGGACTGATGCTTTTGTAATGCTTTTCGATGACTATGGTTTATTTGAACAGGGTTTCGTGTATATTCAATAGATTCTGATCTGCATTGAATTCATCAGAAGTTAGAGATATGAATTGTCTCTGGGTCATGCTTTAGACTTTGTTTTCATGTATATATATAACCAGTCTGATTAAGAGTTGGACTTTTCACCAATTGATTCCCACCACATGGTATGTGGGACTGAAAAACGTATTCCTAGGGTTATCCTGTCTAGTTTTAAGATTTGTTCTGAGTCAGTGTCTCAGATATATTTTTCCTTTATATGTTAACTTACTTGCAAGATGGTATTTTATTTTGAGGGTTTTCATAAATGATGTGCAGCTACCAAAGCGCGTGACCCATAGAAAGTCGGTTGCGTTGGTCTGACCTCGTATATGTTTTTATATTAGTTATTAGGCATGGACCACTATGCTCTCCATCTTAGTTACTGAACTGCATATTCTGAAAGAGGGTCTGGAGGGGAGTCTCTGTAGTCCACCTGAAGAGCTGTCCCCAGGCATCCCAGCCACTGAGCTATGACTCTCTGCAGTCCACCTGAAGAGCTGTCCCCAGGCATCCCAGCCACCAAGCTATTCTGACTTGCATCTGTGTCATTAATCACCAATATCAATCTTGCAAGATCCGCAAGTATTCCTTTGCTGAACTTTTGCGAACTTTTTCTTCACTTTTGTGAACTGGCTACACAACATGATAGACTCCAGTTCTCCCACCTTGGAACGACTCGACGCAACTCATTTCTACATCTAGAACCTTGGTGCCACTTTTCCTTGAGCTCAAAGTGTATTCTAACTTAATAGGATCCCGCATTTTCTGTAAATCTCATATTTTAATTTATGGCCATCTGAATTAGTGTTGTCTGGATTCACTTCATATTTCTCATATTGATTGGCTTGTTTATTCCCTCCAATAAAGCAGAATCTCTTTTGTGCATAAATCCTGAATTGTGTGAGGTCAAGAGTTTTTTCAAAGGGAATTAGGTTAATACGAAATTTGGTTCCTGCTATTCTGAAATGTGAACCACAGGTTACACAATCATTACTAAAGTTTTCCTTTGGTGATGATACATGTAGATGAGATTCCATCTCATGTTAAAAGTCTGTATTGCTGACCAGAACTCTATACCTATTCTCAAGGTTTATAAACAACAAATGAGTTTCTGAGTAATATTAGGTGTCAACAGATGCTCGGCAGTGTGATCATCAAGAGGGTTGTAGGCTGGTGACTCACTTCAGTCCATCGACCAGCTGGCAATCATGTAATCAGGATGATTCGTGTTATGATTGGTCCAGAAAACATTGATCTCCCAAAACTAACATACTGGCTTTGATTTCTCCCAAATGATGTGACCAAAGCAGAGCTGGGAAGGAGGCATCAACCACCAAGTTATGACCATAGAGATACTGATCAATCTCAGGTTTAGTCTCGGAACTCTGAAAGATTTCTGCTTCATTGATTGCTCAAATCAAATTTCATTTCTCTGAAATTGTAACAGCTATTAAGATGTGTCCCAAGATTCAAGATGACTCCTCCAAGTTACTAATGGGGAAAACACCAAAGCACCCAAAAGTCAGTCACTGTCTTTGATTTCTCTCTAGAAGAATGGGACCAAATCATGGCTGGTGAAGACAGTGAAGCCCATTCCTCATCCACGTGCCAATAATAGGTGAAGTTTTCTTGTGGTGATGAAAGACTAGATTCCATCTTGTGTTCAATTTCTATATTGATGACCACGAGCTCAGGGTTTGTAAACAGCAAATGAGTAACTGAGTAATATGAAAAGGTGTTAACAAATGCTCGGCAATGTGATCATCTAGAGGTTAAAGCTGGTTACTCACTTCAATCCATCGACCAGGTTGGGATCATGCATGTATGTGATCCAGTACTCAGGATGATTTGTGTTGTGATTGGTCCAGAAAACATCAATCTCCAAAATGTCACTTACTGGCTTTAATTTCTCCCAAAAGAATGTGATCAAAGCACCGCTGGAAAACAGGCATTAGCCACCAAGTCATGACCATGATCACAGCGCTACTGATCAATCTCAGGTTGGTCTTGGATCTCTGCAGGATTTCTGCTTCGTTGACCACACAAATCAAACTTCATCAGTCTGAGATGCTAACAGCTATTAAACTTCTTTTTCCCTACATCCATCGTTTTGGAGTCTCTTCAGCATTGATGGATCAGAAATGATGGTGGAGGTGGAACTGCCTAGTAACTGCTGTCCCCTTTTTTGCTAACTACAACTTTCACACATTTGCCGTCCTCGACTTTACTTTGTGTATTTTCAGTCTAGTTACCCTCCATGTTTTCTTCACAACTCAAACATTGGCTGGGTCTTGGTTTTCCTGTTGTCACTGTGAAATGAAACAAAATAAATTACTTAGTTCAATTTGTGAGAAATTAAGGTGAGGCTTACTGAGAGTCTTATCTTT